ACTCATATTTACGGATTGATTTCCAGAGATGCTGAGCACATGCAGTTTTCCAGCAGAGTTCACGTAAGCAGTAGTACTTAATATTTCTCAAACACAAATCGCTTACTAATAAGCTGTTGCCAAGGGAATCCTGCCTAGGCATTTGGGCAAAGAAAATATATAATCCTTCCTCTGAACGATTCTCCTTCTAGCCAGTTACTCCACAAAAAAAGATACCGCAAGAAAAATGAGAGAGAAAATTCCTGAACTAATCAAATTTTCATAGAAAGTTTTGAATCCAGACGCATAAAATAAGCAGGCAATAAACTCTAGGGAGAAAATTGTATGAAAATGTTCAACACATGAAGAACACGATACATGATTGCAATTACTTTTTGTGCACTGTGTACTCTTTAGCGTAAAGTGCAAGTTTGGCAGGGGAGAGGTAGATGAGCCAGGTGCAATGGCTCTCATTCAGAATGGAGCAGAAGCAGCTCAGCACAGAGAGGTCTCTGCCAGTTTGCTCTTAAGCAATAAGAAGATATCATTAGGAAGGAAACTTTGTAGGGACTGATATATTAGCTGATTATCAAGAAAATTTAAAAAGGACAGACTTTTCATAGAAATGCTGGAAAACAACAGCTTATGAGACAGCAATTTTCACACAGTAAAAGTAGATAGTACACTTATTTTACTGTAATTAAGACTAGGTAACAGAGTAATCTGTAGAACTGCCACAGAAGTTTACAGGCAGCACTTACCCAGCCAGGGAGCTTACACTTTTAAAGGGACCAAATGAATCAAGACTTTCCCCCACCCCCCACAAAAAAAACCGTAAGTGCTCTAATTTCCTAGAAGACTGCATTTACAGCTACTGAAAATATCTACATGTTGAAAACTTCTCATTCTTGTGTTCTCATTCAGAAGCAGAATTTAAGAATTTGCTTTGAATATATAGAGAAATAGTCTCATTTAGCATCATTTACAGACCACATGGTCATGTGTTCTTGAACTCCTGTTCATTATCAGTTATATACTGTGTTCTCTATAACCTACCAAGATTCTACAATGCTCTTCCATTTTTAGCTCATTTGAGAGAAGAGCACACCCATAAAATGACATGGTTGAAACAGCATCCTCTTGCAACTATATAAATGCAGTTGGCCATTGTCTTTCCATATTAGCCCAACCTCCCTTAATGCTATAAGTGACTGTGGTACTTTAAAACTTTATTGTCTCTCCTTCAAAAATACTTCTTCTTTTAATATGCAGTTAACTGAGCGAGAAGTTCTGTATGTCATAGACACTTTTGAGTCTAACCATCAACCAAAGTGCATGAGAGAAAATGAGTAAAAGTAATTCTTCATATCTCATATGTGTGAAATTCTTGTAAGCCTCATACACTGTCACAGCTATGTTAATTTGCTGGTTTGAGTTTTTCAAACACAAAAATAATTGCTATTTTGTTGTGAAGGGAAATTTTCTCTAACTTTTTGTAATTCTTATTTATCTCATTCAAAAGAAGAGAAGAGTAAGGAACTGAATTCCTCAAATTTTCAATAGCTGTGAGTCACTAAGCCTCCAAGAGAACCTGATGGCTCCCATCAGAACTGAGGCAAAATGCATATGAAATAACAATTTCATATGGGTGGCATTATATTTGCCCTTTCTGAGATGCAATGGACTTAAGAAATCTCCATATTTAATTAATTCTAATGACATGAACTGTTTTTAATCTGCCAGAAAAAAAAAAAATCTGTCAATTACAAAATTTGAGCTGTAAGAAAAGAGAAGATTACAGGAAGGTTGCATGCTCAGCCATTAGCTGCGTTCACATCCAATTCTATTTGTCACAAAACCAAATCACAATTCAGGAGCATGACTTAACTCACAGGAAATGCAAAGTGATTTGAACCTCATTGGCCTTAAAAATTATATCATTATTATTAGCATTATTACTAACATGCATACTTATTTTCATTAATAAAATCCTACTGCAAATGATGGGATTCTACATAGAACAACATGTCCTGTATGGGTGGACTCAAGACATACAGCATTATAATGGGTATCTTCAACAGATGGAACCTAAGAATCAGCCTTTTAGAAATCAGCAATTTCTTCACATGTTGGAAGAATCTGTTTTCATGTCTTTTTTCTTCACATTTTCTTCTGGTAAGTATTTTTAAATGAAAATATTTGGTATTACGAGCTCACGTGGAACAAGAAATTATATTTTAGGGAAGATATGAACATATTATACAAAGATGTAAAGATTATTTGTTTCTGAGTTAGCTCTGGTAATAAACACATGCAGTGTCTAAATCTCACTTAATTTCCAGTTTAAGATTAATTATTTTCCTGGCAGTATGCTACATTCTGGACAGTAGCCCAGCTATGGGTGACTAATGGTAAATGGTTGGGAGTAATTTTTAAATTAAAATAAAATTGTAGTGTGTTTTCAAAGACATGTAAAATTAGGTCAATGCCAAAGAAAGTGGTTTACTTTGTTAATAACTTTGATAAAGGAAGATTACAAAGAAAACCTATTTCTTGTTAGCCTTGAGAGACTTCTAATGCCTGCCACAGTTATCAGTTTTAGGTGGTGCAGTTTCAAACTTGCTCAGGACAAATCCGTGAAAATGTAAGCACTGCACAGCTCTGTAATACATGACAAGCAAAAAATGCATTTGCATATCTGTAATTATAACATAAATTCTATTTATTATATTTTCTAGGAAGTAACAGAATTACTGTGAAAATCTGAAGAACATACTTGGAGTGTATCTGAGGTGGAATTTATCCTTAAATACCCTCAAATGTTTCAATCTTACTTTAGGTTTATTTTGGATTCCTGAATATTGTCTGTTTAATTTTTCTGCCTTTCTGCGTTGACTATTGTTTACAACAGATATGTGAGCCTTCTTGCAAGCAGCTGTTTTCAGTTCTCCCCTCATCTGCTCTCTCTTTGTATTCATATAAAGGTATTGGAAAAAAATCCTAAGGCCACAAGGCAAAGGCTAACATCTAAGACTGGGAAGAAACCATCCTAGTAAGAACACTTGAAAAGTTGTCTTAAAAATTCATTTTCCTGCAAATGCCCTACCATTAGCCAATTCTGGAGACACCTGGCCACCTTAGGTAGGTCTAGGAGGGTGCTCTGACCCTTGTTGCATGGGGGACCTGCGGATGGGTTTCTTACAGGCTTGCACTTTTGGCTCAGGACTCAGAAGGAGCAATGACGTGGCAGTGTTGGGGCTTTCCCTTCCTTCACCTCTCTGCAGCAAGAAAGCTTAAACTCACCAACCGGAACATATTTTTGCACGCCTTATATGTAAATCTCAGAAGCTCTCAAACGAATGTGTTTACTGTTCAACAAAGGTGCCTCCCTACATGATGAAGAAACCTATCCCATGCTTAATTTTGTATTTCTGGCATGCAAAAATTGGAGAGATTATAAAAGATTTCTATTTACTGACTAAGGTACATAATTAATTGCCAATCCAGTGATCAGATATGACTAGAAAGTTAGTGTCTCCAAGTTTGGATTAAAGGATATTAATGGAAACTTTCTCAGCCTGATCTCAAGTTCAGACCTGTTAAGCATATATTTATTTATTAAAATCCCCCTTGTAATGACTGTAATGCACATTACAGCTGAACAAATCAGCCTCTCTTAAAACCATAGTAAATTACTTTCTGATCTTTAACATATTAGGAGACTATACTGAAGTGCCCCTCTGAGGAGGAAAGCAAGTAACACTTTCAAGGAAAGGAAAAAAACATCGTAATAAGTGGTAAATCAAGCATTTCTCCTTCAGTGACTAACTTCCTCAAATGGAGTGGTTAATCACGCAGGTGTGGTAGGAATTAATTCTCCTTTGTAGCTTTCAATAGTTATTTGCTGGACATCTTCAAAACTCAGTATTTTGAAATAAGATTAATATTTTCCTCCTTCTATACGATGAAGAAACTCTCACCATTTTCAAAACCTGCTTTGATGGCATTCAGCTCTGCTAAGAGTCTCAGCTTGATTTTTTTTTTTTTTTTCTAAAATTTAGCAATATATTCGAAATTAAGCTGTGTTGTGGAAAGGAAGGAAGCATCTTTTGGAATCATCCACCCCTGCAGTCTTCAAGTCCCAAGGGCTGAGAATGAATCCATATTACAAGTGAACGTGCATCTAAATTTCCAAAAAACTGTAAATACAGACTTCAGAGTTTGATTTTTAAAATTGTAAGCTATAATGTACATGTTTAGTTACCTAAATAAGTAGTCTGGTCTTCAGATCAGCTGACTACTTACAATCTAGATTAGAATGAACAGGAGGTTGCTTCTATATAATCCATTTTCTTTAAAAATTAAGTCACTCTTTGGTGTATAGAGGCACCTAATTTTGGTTATAATTTTTAATGATGTTTTATAATACTTTGCTACCTAGAATATTCAGATTTTCCTGTCTAAGCATACATCAGTAATTACAATGTGTAATTTATGAGTAAAGCCCAAGAAATAGGCAAATAAAAAAGGTGTTTTCTAATGTGGTTCACATTAGAACCATGTTAGTTTCCATAATAAAAAATTTTCCCCATGCTGTATATCAGAAATAAGAGATTTAAACTAGGCACGTGTTTGGGTCTGAATCTGAGAATAACTATTGCACAACCATCAATAAAGTGTCCTCTGCTTGACTGAGACTTTGTGACTGTAAATAATTACACTTCCTGAGGCAAACAGGAGCTGTAAATGGCAAGGTAGGTTTTGATGAGTTTGAAGGCTTTTCTTTTTTTTTTTTTTTTTCCCTCAGAACAACTCCAAATCCGACTTTAATAAACTTTTAAATAAACTTTGAAAAGGTAACAACACATTCATTTCAATATCAGCAATTCTTTGCACAGGAATTACATGACATATAATTATGCTTTTAACAGTGGGATGATTAAACAAGACAAAGTGCAATGACATGTTCATTCATATAATACATAGTTCCCGAAAGAAATAGGAAAGATTTCTACACTGACCATAATCTGTGTTTTCCGGCTCCCAACAATTTGATGGCCAAAAATAGGGTGTCTATAGACAAAACAAAACAGTAGGGAACTCAAGTTAGACAATGCAAGCATTATACATTCCTTGGATCGATAATGGTTTTCAGAGTCAATTTACAAGTTTGGCAAATCTATTATATTGTTAACTTGACAATTTTGAAATAGGCATCAAAACAGAAAATTACTTTTGTACGCTTGTTTATTGCACTAGTGTCAGAATGGCATTGAAAAAGAAGAACAAAGTGTTCTTTTTATTCTTAAAGTCAAGGGAACAATAAACACAAGATTAGGTAATGAGGTTGTCTTTTTCCTCTTCCCTAGCAACATACCCCTTACATGCTCCGAGGAATCAGTTTTAGAAGGTAAAAAGACAGCAGATACTTCGGGGGTACATTCGCTTCTTGATTTTGGAGAGTTTTCATCAATATGTATTAATATTCAATACTCTTTCCTAGGAGTTATTTGTTTAAAAATGCCACTGAATGCTACCTGTTTTCACGAAGTTATCAAAGTTCTTTTCATTTGTTGAAGTCTGGTTTTCTCCTAATTGTTTTCCAACTCTTATTTAAAATATGATATGTGAAATGGAAAGACAATAACATTATCAATAACTAGTTCAATACTATGCTTATTAAAACTGTGCTAAACGTATTGTTAAAATAATTCACCTACGAAATACCAAATGAAGACTATAAGACCATATAGGAGTTTTTCATAAAAATAACTTAATTTTTAAAATAGCAACTTTTTGAAAATGTAAAGGATCATAGTGTTTTACACATAACACATTCAAATATATATAACTTACATACAAACAGAGAATTATATAGTATTTGAGCGGTTGAATTAATCTCATTAACTATGTGGAGTGGTCTGAATGATATTTCAAAACACAGGTGCTTTCTTAGGAAAGACTTCTGCTTTAATCTCTGTTTCTTCCTGATTTTTTCTCAAAGATCTCCCAGCTGCAAAAGGGAAAACCTCTCTTGCTCCCCACTACCCTCAAATTTTTTTCATGTTAACCTGGAAACCAGCAGGGCTGAAGGGTGACACATTCACACCTGTGTAACAATGACACGTGAACTTGACCAGGAGCGATTTAGAAATACTATTTATCAAACAACAGGAACGAGTTAAAGGGTACAAAAGAAACTGTCGCAAGCTAACTTCAAAGGCTGAGATGTGCTTCTTGTAAGCTGTTTTATGCTCTGTAATGAGGCTGCAATAAGTCATTCTCCTATCACCTATTCCTTTGCAGTGCCACTGAAATCAAAATGACCAGGTTAAGCACAAATGGAAAGAAGAATGGGAACCCCTAAACAATGAATGGCAGCACTCAGTGAATCCTGGAGAAGCATGAAGCTATAAAAGTAATTTAACAATGTCAGTCATATAAAGCATAAAGCCTCCATAAGTTACATACACAGTTTTCAAACTCGGGGAGGGAGAAAAGTCGTTTTTCAGAGGCATGAAGTGTATCTTGCAGAGGCTCAAGAAGAAAAGCACAACTGCATCATTTTCCTGCTAACAGTATCTTTAACCTCTGTTTATGGGTTCAAGCTGATCTTCTGGAAAAAGGATGCAGTGAGGGTTACTAAATACACAGAAACCATATCCACTCAGGCAGCACCTGAGATAAAACTGGCTGAGACACAGATTTTATTTAGTTGGAAAGTAGCAGTTACAGTGGAGGATGGCTGGAGAAAGGTGGAAGAAAGAGCCCTTTCAGAAGCAGAGACAGAGATTCTTACAACTGCGGGTATGCTTCCTGCAAATTCCATATTAAAACTCTTCAACTCTTAGGATTTCTCCCGGCAAATTACATATGCTCCCATCCCAGCTGAGATTAAAAAATAAATTCTCTCTTCTGATTTTGAGCAAATCCCCAGATTGTTTTTGGCATTGATTTCACATCAGGCTATGAGGAAATATATTCACGACCATTATGTTTAAGATGTAAGAGGAGGACTCTGTTATCTATTACATAAATGAAAAGCTATCCCTGGCCAGCAATAATACTGCAAGAAATAGTTCTGAGAGGCTCTCAGAGATATTATCATAGAATCATAGAATGGTTTGGGTTGGAAGGGACCTTAAGGATTATCTAGTTCCAACCACCCTGCCATGGGCAGGGACACCCTCCACTAGACCAGGTTGCTCATGGATAAGCCTGGTTTTACTGTCTTCAGTATTTAGTGAAAATAACACGTTAAACTTTTATTGAGACTTGCACATCGGTGGTGGAGGGAGTGTGGGTGCTAAACAGAATATGGGAAAGGGGGCAGGATCTTCAATGTTGTGAAACATCGCTTTAGCTCACTAGGAGGCAGAGGTGGCCAAGGCTTTTTGGAAGAACAAAAAGGTGCATCCTGGTGGCAGGACCTGCTTCCAACAGAAGGACTCAGTTCATATGAACTCTGAGAAGTGTGAAAAGGCACCGAGGACACTTTTTCCTTTCCGAAGCTGAACGAAACTTTTGAGGGACCAGATAAAATAGATTTTGTTCATATATTACAGAATATGTGAGCAAGACGTTGTAGGTGTGTAGTACTTGGAGTGAAAGTGACTGCAGGATGAGACATATTCTGCAAAGAGCGCAGAAGTGTGAGGTCCAGCGGGCTCAGAGAACAGGCAGAGGAGGTATCTTGGGAAAGTAAACCGAGGGACACAGAGATGGAAGGGAGACGACAGTTATTGAAAGAGAACGTACTAAACAACCAAGTACCTTTGGAGAGACAGTATAGTGATAGGCCAGTGTAGGCACACTGGCAATCTCCAATCAATTAAACGTGAAAAAGACATCATAGAAAAAGCACAAATTGATGCGTATGCTACTAAGGATGAGTCTAAGCCTCCTGCGCCACCATGCCTCCATAGATAAAAGCAGAGAAGTTAGAACATGAGTTTTAATTAGCAAAGCACATGATAAGTCATAATAAAAGGTTTCAAGAATATGTTATAAGGTAAGCCAGAAAGAAACCCCAGCAGAAGGCAAACATTACAATATGAGAAAGAGGTTCAAATAACAGTTAGTACAGATAAGTACAGAACATTATTAAATGCCTTCCTTGTTTGAGTCTCCAGGAGGAGGGAGACTGTGGGCAGATGAAGGTCTTTCTGCCCAGTGAATGACAGGCAGGCGCGAGCTCTCCTCGCTGATGCTCTGAACTAGGCAGGCCCAGGCTGCCTCTGAACCACAAGCTGTGACCCCACCCACCCGGTGCTTGGATGCATTTGTTGGGACCCACTGAGAAGTACAGCTCTTCAGCACAAGCACTGCAAGGTGGCCAGAGCTGGCCTCCCGCCAGCTGGCTCCCAGTGGAAACAAAGTTCAAGGCTGCCTGTAATCATCTCTATGAACATGCCCAAAATTAATTTTAACATGAACATGAGACTATAGGGCAAAGTACAGGAAAAAAAAAATAGGAAGGGAAATATTTATATGAACTCAGACAGTCCAGGTTAGAGGCCTGATGAAATTCAGCACAGAACACCTATGGAATTACTGTGTTTTCATGTGGGTGAACTGTGTTTATTTGTAGAAAACAAAAAAGCCTCGCCAAACTAAAGAACAACTCCTGCTTCCTCAGCATTGTGAGTTACATGTGCATGTGTAAATATTCTGACAAAGATTTTGCCCTGGTACTTCTCTTTCTCCACTATTTCTAACTTTCTCTGGTATCTAGTATATTACTGGCAAGCGTTATCAAAAGTATTGGATTATCTGAATGATATTTAAAGTGGTGCAAGTTACACACAGAAAAAATACCCAAGTAACCTTTGAAACATCGGCAGTTATCGTAAAAAATTCCCCTTGCAAGGGGAAGATCAACCTTTTTCAGAAAAGGGGAAAATCTGAAATTTTCTGTATTCTAATCTTTCTAGATCTAGGGTCTAGATTGCACAACTGTAATACACTATCCGTTTCTGAATTCTAAACAACTAAAGGTTTCTAAAATGTGCAAACTCTGCAATCAGGCATGTTAACATTGAGTTTGCACTAGGTCTCAGACAGAAATGCCTGAAAAAAAGCCGATTTTCCTACAAATGGAGTCTGAAGTTTACTTTGTCCTTTAGATGTTACCTATTAAAAAACGCTCTATTAAAAAACTGCCACAGCAATGCAAGGAGATTCTGCCTACATAAATGACCTTCTCTATACCCTGGACTATGCAATCAAAGCTTGGTTTAACTATTTGTCACAACTCACATATCCGTGAGTACACTGTAGAAGACTTATATTCCTATAGTACAAAAACTGTACAATCTATTTATTTTGTTTTATGGTCCAGAAACCCTACATAAGCAAAGAGTTTCTCCAGGAGATTTACGAAGATGGTACAATATGTACACCTCAACACTAACATTTTCAAGGAGAATATAATGAAATATCAACCTTTTTTTTTTTTTTTTAATGTAGAAAACCTGAAGGAATTATCATAGTTCAGGATTTTGCTTTGCCTCAGAAGAAAATGTGAAGCAGTTCATCATGAACAAGCATTAAACAGAGAACATCTGTCATTTTGCCATGACGTCCCACTGATAGCCGGAAGGAAGGTGGGTGGTAGAATGGTTTGGGGAAAGTCAAGTACTGTTTATCAGCCCAGGCAGAAATAATGCTGCCAGTTTTTATCAGTACCCTTTTAAGGCACTTTGTTTAACTGTATCTGTAATTTGAATAAGCAGCCAGCACAAGCCAACAGCTAGAGAAATGGGCTTACCTAGCACTGCACATGCGACTGTAGAGCCATTTAAGCATTCAGAACAAAACAGGCTGTTACAAGGATCCTTATGGCATTGACGGAAAACTGGTTTTGCACACACAAACACATACTGGTTCTCTCGCTTTATAGACTAATATCATTAGGTAAACCTAACCAGAGAAATCCATAATCCTCCTGTTAATAAAGTCATGTGAAACAAAATCCTGTAATATAGCACGTACTCCACACCAGACAAATTGGCAGCAGTGTCTGCTATGCATCGTGAGCAATCCTGTGATAAACCAAATAGATCTGCTTTGGCTCTACCATAAAATTAATCAATAATAATAACTGAGCTAATGAAACAGCCACTTGTAAAAATCAGTGTTTCCCATCAGCTTTTCTAAAACATGATTAATTCCTGTGCATTAAACTGTATTACTGAGGCATAAAGCATCTTTCAGCTACCCCTTGTTGATAGTAATAAGAAAAGAATTGTTGTTTCTGAGGTTGCTCCACTCCATGAAATTTTTAAAAATCTAATTACTGGGCTAGAGGAGGAATATTCAAATCACTCATAAACCCTCCTTTGCATATTACTCCTATTCTTCTCACAGGCACCAGGGAGTCTTATAAACAGCAGAAATCAAGTATTTCCTAAAAAATAGTTATACACAATCTCCAATGCCTTGCATGATGGATGGCAGAATTCATGGATATTCCATTTTACATTAGCTGCAGTTGACTCAAATGATCTCCTGGGTAAAGGAAAAGTTAAGATCTGGTCCAGAGCTGTCAAGCCCATAAAGGAAGGATGCCAGCAACTAGTGCTCCAGTTAGCTCAGAATTATTAACAAAGAGGTTGAAGTTGGAAAAAATAAAGATTTTGGCTCTATGACTCCTCTTTTCTAACCTGGAAAGGGGATGAGCACAGAAAGCATTGGGGGGAAAGCATATCCGAGTAGGAAGTTAAAAAAGAAAAAATGGCACTGACAGTGCAGTTAGAAAGGCACATGGATTTGGAATTATGTTTCCCTCTTTGAAACCTAAACAGAAGCTGTATGTGCTGAGCCTGAGCTGAAGAGACAATGAATTAGCCCTTGCACCTGCAATTGCGAAGAAAATCTGCCAAACACTGGATACGATAACCTGCTTCATTTTTATTTCAAAAAATCCTTCCCTCAAGGCACAGTAGATGATCCAGAGATGCCGCAGAGAGTGGCTGGAGAGCTGTGATGTTCAGCCATGGCCTCAATATTCAGAATGGCCAGAGTCTGGCCCAGGATTAAGCCAAGAGGACTAGTCAGGCAAGAGGACTGGCCTAGGACCTGCCAAGCAGGGTCAGCTCAAATTGCTGTGGGAAGTAACTCAATTCCACATGAGACACAAGGATTCACAACCCTTCATGCTTTACACTGTTTTGCAGCTAAGATATTCCAAGATCCTTACAGCGATTGCTATATATTATTATTCCCAGTTTAGGCATGGGAAAACAATGCCAATGCATTTGTCGAGAAAGTATTCCCAGTGGTAGAACAGGAGAAGACATCGCAGGTGAAACCTTCATGTCGCCAAAATCCGTCAGTTTTGCTATTTTCACCTAACTCATGTTTCACAAGAAACTGTTCCCATTTTCATACTCTTCTTTGGCTATTGTACCGTCGTTAAACCACGACAGCTATTTAAGCCTTCCTTTTTAAAAGTTACAAAACAACAGCAGAATCTAAACTTCATATCTGAAAATTAATTTGTTATATTATCAATTAATCTAAAAAAAAATGTTAGTGTGATTATCACTAGCCTCAAGTATCCTAGAAGTTTGTTTAAAGACAAAAGACAGTAGGAAACACCATTTTTCACTATTGACATTGAGACACTTAGTATGCATGTGCAACTCATAGAAGAAGTCTTTCCCTGGGATACTATCAGAATTTTAGCAGCTGAGAGGGCAAGTCAGGCATTCCTTCACAGGATGGACATATTATCACTTATGTGGACATGGATGAAAGGTTTCAGTGAGTAATTCCTGGCCCCAGGAACATCTGCTTTCTAAGGTGCACCTTGCTTTCCTTATTTGGGCACATCATACCTATTTGCTGGCAGGTAGAGGAGGGTGGTTATCAGGTATTCAGCTCTTTCTTTGGTTCCAGACTTAAATTACCAAGAAAAAGCACTGAAACTGTTCAGGATGGTTCAGAAAGCATCACTATCCCTGAATTTTCTGCTTTGCCTTTTTAAGACTAATAAGTAATTTCCACTGATTAAGGCAATTAATATTTAGATCCATTCCCTTTGAATTAAATTATCACAGAAACTAACCTAATTACACCTGAGTAGGTCAAAGAATCATCTGGATTTTTTTTTTTTTAAATTTCTGACACTACATTATTTAAAAATCAGATATAACTACGATTTTACAGCCCTCCTGATGGCAAGAGCAATAACTGGAAGAATATAATTTTGCTTGTGAAAGAGCATTTGCAAAAACAAAGCACGATCTCCACTCCTTTTAGCTATTTCTATACAACAGAAGGTTGTTTAAAACAAAATGTAAGTAATTTTACTGTCAGGAGGGAATGCGTCACCCTTTGGAAAACAAAAAACGAAGTGCATAGAGAACATCAGTGTAGTTAGCCTGTTTTTTTGTAGGTCAGGTCTTTGTACTGCAGACAGAGAGTTCTCTGCAGGGGTGGCTTCTGAACCCTTCAGTGCTGGCAGGTGTTTGGTTTTCTCTTTCTACTAAAATATCCAGAAAATTGTCAATCCTGTCCAATACTCAGGGAGTCATATTTCCAAAGCATCTGATCAATTATTCTAGTGCAAAATTCACACATTTGCTGTCAAACTTTCCTCCCCATTGAGTATGTTTTCTTCCTCTTCCAATTCAACCGCTTCAGTAACAGATTTTATATTAGCCTTATTTTGGTGGGGAATGTGGAATTGTGATGACATAACTTTTGCTGTTACAACACCAACTAACAGTATGGCACCACTATAAATTTTTTCTATACATCCACAGCTAAAATTGCATTCTTTTAACATTGTTAGCATAGGAATAGCAATGTGAAAGATACCACAGAGCACCAAAAATATTGCAGATATATACTGAGCAACACTTGAGGAAATTCTTTTATTTCATATGCATATATCAGATAGTTGTGAAATCCTTCATTTAGGTAAATCAACTGATATAATTTTACAATCTAACCCTCACTGAAGCTTCCTGTCTAAACATACAGGCTGTAGATCTCTCTGAGGAAAGCCCACAGCAGGGTAGAGCTTCAGTACTCTCAGTTGTTCACAGTGCAGCTAATTCTAATCTATACTTTCCTTCAGTTGAATTATCATGCTAGCAGAGGTGCTCATTTCCCACATTTGAGATAGAAGCAGGCCAGCATCTGTGCAAAATTTAATGACCAGCACTCTTATAAATAAGTTTTATTCTCTGAAAAATGAAGTCCTTATATATTTTGTCCTTCAGGATGAAGCTTATGCAGAGCCAAGCCAAGAGCTAGAGTCTCAACCACACTGGGATTTCTTTCAACTTTTCACTTTCCTCATCACCACATCAGTGACTGTCCCTCAGCAGTAAGCCACTTCAGCCATGTGCCAGCCCACTTTTCTTTATATTGAACTGTGAGGAGGATGAAGCACATAAGAAGCAAACCTCTTCCTTCCAATCCCCTCTCCAGGATCAAAGACAACTGTTGATCTAGGGTGGGAGACTTCGAGTGACTGCTCCTTTTATTACCCATAGACACACATAACTTACTGACCTAGTGAAGGACAGGTTTTTTGCACTGTATGACCCATAGGATCTACATATGAAAATATGAAAATATTATATGTGTGTATTCAACAATCATTCTCTTTCTTGCCAGACTGTGCTGTACATATTTTATATTAATCACTAAGATTTTGTTTTAGAGTAAATATTATGAAACTTTCCCTTCCCTTATGTGGGTGTGTAGAACTCAAACCAAATTATTGATGAAAGTATTGTACAGCAATTAATCTGATACTATGTTTGAGACTGTGATTGGTCTCCAACATACCAGTTTTCTGCTGTATTTTAAAGACCAAAATTTTATGTTATTCTTGATGACTTCTTATTTAAAAAATGTTTAAGACAAAGCTTAGACTTAAATATCTTGATGACAATAGATTTTGTTCTATCAGATATTATTTCTCTGTATTTAACTCAGAGCCAACAGAGCAAGATTACCAAACTATGGTATTCATAAAATCAATTTCATAGTGACAGTCATCATATTATTTCAGAGCCACAAATATCCAAGGAAGATCTTGGAGAAGCTGTTGGTGATATCTACCAGGAAAACCACCTAATAGGAAGAGCAATACAACACAACTGCCTTTCTCAAAGGTAGTGCAAGGCAAGCAAAGTTAATTCTTTCTCTAGAATACATAATCAGACACTGTGCATTCATATTTGTTTCAAGTCACAGCTGATATTTCTTTGCAAACTTCTAGTCTGTTCATTATTAGAAAAGCAACATTCCTGTTACCCAAGTCCTTAGTTTGAAATCTAATATAATAAAATATAGGTATCTGAATAATATATGTGTAGGCATAGGGGTGTGTGTGTGTATATATAAAATACATATATATATATACACACTTATACTTTCTTCCAGATTGTTCTGAAGCATCTGCATGTGTTGTATGCAATGGGATTGACCGATCCCCATAGAAATGCGTCTGCGCTTGTTTGAAGAACACACACTACTTTGCTATGCTGTTACCAATAAGGAAATCCTCACATAAGACAGAATACAAATACTTCCCTCCATTTTACTCAGATTTTTGTTATAGTCTGAATAAGTACAATACCTCCCCCATTCCAGATTAAGACTATACTAGGAATAAGAGTCAATAGATAATTTTATTTCCTTTACTATGTTTCCAAAATACTAGCTTAATTTATTTCATGACAGATACTTCTACACTCAGCACTTTCACGCTTTTCACAGGGATCAAAATGGTCACTATCACCTTAACACTTTGCTGACTTAATTTCTAAAGAAAGTCCTTCTACCATTTTTTACTTAAAGGTGAATTGCCATCATTTACTTGGTTACATAAGAGACAAAGTATGGTTAAAATTTGCTATGAACTTTTGTATAAGGCCTTTAATATGAGCCTCCAATTGCACAAGTCAAGAACATATTGAGAAGACTTACCTGAAATCGATAAAAGGTGCCATCATCCTTTAGTGTTAGAACATGGTCTGAGATTGGAAAGAAATAGCCATGTGCTGCCATCAGTGTTCCCAAATGTAGAGCTTCCACTGTTTGAAGAACAAAATAAAGACAAATTAAAAAAAATTATTTCTTTTCAGCAGTTTAGCCTTCTTATTCAGATTACCTTATCTCCTGCAGGCAATGACTTGACTTTTAGTCAAGGTCCTGCCATCATGAAAGTGCTGTCTTTTTCTCTGTAATGTAATGATGCAATCAAAAACCCTTTTTCTCTCCTTAAGAAACGGCTATTAGCTGTCCCATTTGTAGCTGCAGTTCCACCACTTACATGAACATTAATAGGTGTCTACTGTAATGTTCACCCACTTGTTTTGGCACAGAAAACAGCTATCATTTTTACTCTGATGGCTCAGCCTGCTTCTCCTCTTCAGAACAATATCAGATTACATGATGTTATAATAGTTGATCCCAATTGCATGATATTGTCCTCACCAGCTTTATTAGACTACAGTAAAGGATAGAGATTTCTTTCAATGTGTCTCATTACTGGGAAAATAACAAAGGATCATAGAATCACAGGATGATTGAGGTTGGAAGGGACCTTTGGAGGTCTTCTGGTCCACCCCTCTGCTCAAGCAGGGTCACCTAGAGCTGGCTAACCAGGATCATGTCCAGACGGCTTTAGAATATCTCTAATGGGGGAGACCCCACCACCTCTCTGGGCAACCTGTGCCAGTGCTGGTCACCCTTACAGTGAAAAATTGCTTCCCAGTGTTCAGACAGAACCTCCTGTGGTTCAGCTTGTGCCCATCACCACTGGTGCTGTCACTGGACACCACTGGACAGAGCCTGGCTCTGTCTTCCTTACACCATCCCAGCAGGTATTTATACACATAGGTGAGCTTCCACCTGAGCTTTCTCTTCTCCAGGCTGAACAGCATCTTTTCTCATAGAAGAGATGCTTCAGTCCCTTGATCATCCTCGTGGCCCCCTGTTGGACTCTCTCCAGTGTGTGCATGTCTCTTGTAGTGAGAAGTCAAGAACTGGACACACAGAGAATGAACTCAACTCACTTCAATGAACAAAATCATAACATGAAACAGTCAGTGTTTATGTGCTTTTATATTTTCAGTGAATCACTGTCCAGCATCAGTCCCTGAAGTCTCTTACTCAGTTTTGCCGTTTTCTGGCTGACAAGAACACTATGTTGTAGGAAAAGAACAGCATTAGTTAGAGTCATGCTCTTGTTGTGGTATTTAAGTCCTACTATTTCTTTACCATACCTCTTTATCAACCTTGTAATAACTCCAGTACATATCCCTAAAATAGCTGCACAGCAATTTCTGCTGTAACATGAATCATTTCCTAGCATAACCTGCTAATATCTGTCCACAACCGCTGAAGCATCCTAACATTAAAAGATGAGCCCTGGAAAGCAGCACAAGGGTTTCCAAGTTGTACGACAAAGCCAACAGTTACAGGAGCTGATGCTAGAGAAGACAGCACTGCTGCAGGACATCATCAGGGGTAAGGAAAGGAAAAAGGTCAATAAAAAGGCCATATTATACACCTAGGGAGTAAGGGAAAGGTGGGAAGGGGAGAAAGGAAAAGACAATGAGAAGACAGACAGAAACAGCAAGATCAGCCTAAAAAATAAGAGATCTTTGATCTAAAATATGAAAAGAGGATGAATCCAGAAAGTATGTAGAATTAGTAAAGATTAATTTTTGCACTATGGAAAACATGTTACACCACCATAACACACATGGATTCATATTCATCATCTAAAAAGAGTTAATTTGCCTATAATTAGCTATTGAGAGCTGTTGCCTGTAATTTGGCTTTCAGCAACAGCAAGCATAAATGTTGCAGCATGGATCTGTCTTGGTCTGCCTCTTTAAAACATTACTGCTGCATCTCACCAGCTGTCACAGCATTATCATGCAGAAAGAAATGCGATTCCTGATATCCATGTTCTTGCTTACAAACACAGAAAGAGGGATTCACCTATGCTTCACTCATTATTATTCTGGATATAAGAAGGAAACACAGGTTTATTTATTTACCTGTACTTCATCAGCATCCCAGAAAATTCCCTCTTTCACTCTTTTGCTCACCTGCAGACATTCATTGGTATAGGCGATACAAGAGATGGAGTGGGACTAACCTAAAGCCAGCAAGCATGTGAAAGGTGCAAGAAAGAAGATCTGGACAATACTTAACTGAGAGCATATAACCCTACCAGGGTTTATTTGATACTAAATAATCTTTGTGACCTCTGTCTTTAGCAAACTGACTCCTGTCCCTCCAGCACAGCCATTATTTAAGAAAATCCAACACACCCTTCTCTGATATTGAGCTCTCTGGCCTGCTATAAAATGCTACAGTCCTGTTAATAAGCCTTCTCCCAATCATAAGCCTACAAGAAATCTCCCTCACAGAAAGAAAATATAGTTGCCTCACTCTTTGGGCTTGAGATGTCTGCAAATTGCCATCTGAACTTCATCCTAATTATTTTAAGTCCATATATTGCTGTGAGAGACCTTAGCTTGAGTTGTCTCAAAGCTTGTTGACAAAGTTGTGAAACTTCCTGGTGGCTTGGGAGCAGGGATTGCCTGCAGGCCCGAATAGATCAGGGGCAAATGGCCTCTCAACAGATGCAAATTGCTTCTGGAGACCAGTTCACATCAAGGACAAAGAACAATGACATC